GGGTTAGTGTTAGGGTTATATATCTAGAGGGTTAGTGTTAGGGTTAGGGTTATATAACTAGAGGGTTAGTGTTAGGGTTATATATCTAGAGGGTTAGTGTTAGGGTTATATAACTAGAGGGTTAGTGTTAGGGTTATATAACTAGAGGGTTAGTGTTATGGTTATATAACTAGAGGGTTAGTGTTAGGGTTATATATCTAGAGGGTTAGTGTTAGGGTTATATAACTAGAGGGTTAGTGTTAGAGTTATATATCTCCAGGGTTAGTGTTAGGGTTATTTAACTATAGGTTTAGTGTTAGGGTTATATAACTAGAGGGTTAGTGTTAGGGTTATATATCTAGAGGGTTAGTGTTAGGGTTATATATCTAGAGGGTTAGTGTTAGGGTTATATATCTAGAGGGTTAGTGTTAGGGTTATATAACTAGAGGGTTAGTGTTAGGGTTATATAACTAGAGGGTTAGTGTTAGGGTTATATATCTAGAGGGTTAGTGTTAGGGTTATATAACTAGAGGGTTAGTGTTATATATCTAGAGGGTTAGGGTTATATATCTAGAGGGTTAGTGTTAGGGTTATATATCTAGAGGGTTAGTGTTAGGGTTAGGGTTATATAACTAGAGGGTTAGTGTTAGGGTTATATATCTAGAGGGTTAGTGTTAGGGTTATATAACTAGAGGGTTAGTGTTAGGGTTATATAACTAGAGGGTTAGTGTTAGGGTTAGGGTTATATAACTAGAGGGTTAGGGTTATATAACTAGAGGGTTAGTGTTAGGGTGATATATCTAGAGGGTTAGTGGTATGGTTATATAACTAGAGAGTTAGTGTTAGGGTTATATATCTAGAGGGTTAGTGTTAGAGTTATATAACTAGAAGGTTAGTGTTAGGGTTACATATCTAGAGGGTTAGTGTTAGGGTTATATATCTAGAGGGTTAGTAAATAAAATAAATTGGTCATTTAGCAGACGCTCTTATCCAGAGCGACTTACAGGAGCATAAGTGCCTTGCTCAAGGGCACATCGACAGATTTTTCACCTAGTCGGCTTGGGGATTAGAACCAGCGACCTTTCGGTTACTGGTACAACGCTCTTAACCACTAAGCTACCTGCCATTAGTGTTAAGGTTATCAATCAATCAATCAATTTTATTTTATATAGCCCTTCTTACATCAGCTAATATCTCGAAGTGCTGTACAGAAACCCAGCCTAAAACCCCAAACAGCTAGTAATGCAGGTGTAGAAGCACGGTGGCTAGGAAAAACTCCCTAGAAAGGCAAAACCTAGGAAGAAACCTAGAGAGGAACCAGGCTATGAGGGGTGGCCAGTCCTCTTCTGGCTGTGCCGGGTGGAGATTATAACAGAACCATGCCAAGATGTTCAAAAATGTTCATAAGTGACAAGCATGGCCAAATAATAATCAGGAATAAATCTCAGTTGGCTTTTCATAGCCGATCATTAAGAGTTTAAAACAGCAGGTCTGGGACAGGTAGGGGTTATATAACTAGAGGGTTAGTGTTATGGTTATATAACTAGGGGGTTAGTGTTAGGGTTATATATCTAGAGGGTTAGTGTTAGGGTTATATAACTAGAGAGTTAGTGTTAGAGTTATATATCTCCAGGGTTAGTGTTAGGGTTATATAACTAGAGGGTTAGTGTTAGTGTTATATAACTGGAGGGTTAGTGTTAGGGTTATATATCTACAGGGTTAGTGTTAGTGTTAGGGTTATATATCTACAGGGTTAGTGTTAGGGTTAGGGTTATATATCTAGAGGGTTAGTGTTAGGGTTAGGGTTATATAACTAGAGGGTTAGTGTTAGGGTTATATATCTAGAGGGTTAGTGTTAGGGTTATATAACTAGAGGGTTAGTGTTAGGGTTATATATCTAGAGGGTTAGTGTTAGGGTTATATAACTAGAGGATTAGGGTTAGGGCTGTATAACTAGAGGGTTAGTGTTAGGGTTATATAACTAGAGGATTAGGGTTAGGGCTATATAACTAGAGGGTTAGTGTTAGGGTTATATAACTAGAGGGTTAGGGTTATATAACTAGAGGGTTAGTGTTAGGGTTATATAACTAGAGGATTAGGGTTAGGGCTATATAACTAGAGGGTTAGTGTTAGGGTTATATAACTAGAGGATTAGGGTTAGGGCTATATAACTAGAGGGTTAGTGTTAGGGTTATATAACTAGAGGATTAGGGTTAGGGCTATATAACTAGAGGGTTAGTGTTAGGGTTATATAACTAGAGAGTTAGTGTTAGAGTTATATATCTCCAGGGTTAGTGTTAGGGTTATATAACTAGAGGGTTAGTGTTAGGGTTATATATCTAGAGGGTTAGTGTTAGTGTTATATAACTGGAGGGTTAGTGTTAGGGTTATATATCTACAGGGTTAGTGTTAGGGTTAGGGTTATATATCTAGAGGGTTAGTGTTAGGGTTAGGGTTATATAACTAGAGGGTTAGTGTTAGGGTTATATATCTAGAGGGTTAGTGTTAGGGTTAGGGTTATATAACTAGAGGGTTAGTGTTAGGGTTATATATCTAGAGGGTTAGTGTTAGGGTTATATTTCTAGAGGGTTAGGGTTATATAACTAGAGGGTTAGTGTTAGGGTTATATATCTAGAGGGTTAGTGTTAGGGTTATATATCTAGAGGGTTAGTGTTAGGGTTATATATCTAGAGGGTTAGTGTTAGGGTTATATAACTAGAGGGTTAGTGTTAGGGTTATCTAGAGGGTTAGTGTTAGGGTTATATAACTAGAGGGTTAGTGTTAGGGTTATATAACTAGAGGGTTAGTGTTAGGGTTATATAACTAGAGGGTTAGTGTTAGGGTTATCTATCTAGAGGGTTAGTGTTAGGGTTATATAACTAGAGGGTTAGTGTTAGGGTTATATAACTAGAGGGTTAGTGATAGTTTTAGGGTTATATAACTAGAGGGTTAGTGTTAGGGTTATATATCTAGAGGGTTAGTTTTAGGGTTATATAACTAGAGGGTTAGTGGGAAAAAATGTCAACCAAACTAGAAATGCACATGGAAAGTATTCAGACCCCTTGACTTTGTCCACATTTTGTTACGTTACAGCCCTATTTTTACACTGCTGCTACTCATTGTTTATTATCTATGCATAGTCACTTTACCCCTACCTACAGGTACAAATTACCTCAACTAACCTGTACCCCCGCACATTGATTTGGTACCGGTACCCCCTGTATATAGCCTCATTATTAACTCTACTAACCTGTACCCCCGCACATTGATTTGGTACCGGTACCCCCTGTATATAGCCTCATTATTAACTCTACTAACCTGTACCCCCGCGCACATTGATTTGGTACCGGTACCCCCTGTATATAGCCTGTATATTGATTTGGTACCGGTACCCCCTGTATATAGCCTGTATATTGATTTGGTACCGGTACCCCCTGTATATAGCCTGTATATTGATTTGGTACCGGTACCCCCTGTATATAGCCTGTATATTGATTTGGTACCGGTACCCCCTGTATATAGCCTGTATATTGATTTGGTACCGGTACCCCCTGTATATAGCCTGTATATTGATTTGGTACCGGTACCCCCTGTATATAGCCTGTATATTGATTTGGTACCGGTACCCCCTGTATATGTGACTCTTTTCTGTCTATAACATGAGTTGCTCAGTATGTGAAGGTCATCCTCAGTATGTGAAGGTCATCCTCAGTATGTGAAGGTCATCCTCAGTATGTGAAGGTCATCCTCAGTATGTGAATGTCATCCTTAGTATGTGAAGGTCATCCTCAGTATGTGAAGGTCATCCTCAGTATGTGAAGGTCATCCTCAGTATGTGAAGGTCATCCTTAGTATGTGAAGGTCATCCTCAGTATGTGAAGGTCATCCTCAGTATGTGAAGGTCATCCTTTTTAACACGTAAAAAAAAAAAAAGATATCACGTAGTAGAACTGAACAAGTGTTGCTCTCCAATTTCTGGAGGACCGAGTTTTTAAATCAGTGGAATTAGACTATGATAGCTAAGGATATGGAAAAAATGATGTTGTTTTTAACAGCATACTGTGTAACAATGTACTGTGTAACAATGTACTGTGTAACAATGTACTGTTTAACAAGTGTAGTAACTGGAGCAGGTATAAGATAAGAGCAACTCCTTGCTCGGGCAGGCTTCGGCGTTCGTCGTCCCCGGAGTACTAGCTACTACCGCTCGATGTTTTCGATGTTTGTTTTGTAATGTCTAGTTGGTACACCTGTTTCGTATTCTGTATTGATTATGTTACATATAAGTTCCTTTGTTTTATGTTTGCCTTTGTGTGTTATTGTCCGCGTGTCCTGTATGTATGGTTGGCATTGATCATTCTGTTTATTACGCACTCTGCGTGTTATTCCTCCTCTTGTGTTTTGGAGGCTTTTTGTTTTGTGCGTATTTTTGGAAAGTAAAGCAGTCGTCACTGATCTTCTGTGTCCTGCGCCTGACTTCACCGCTGCATACACTTCAGCATTTTGACAGGTATTTGAGAAAATTAATGTAAAGTGTCACGCACGTCATAATTGACTATCTCAAGCAGAATACCTATGCATGCTGGGAAAAGTAATTATGATGTGTATACACAAATGGTGTGTTCAGGAATACACTCACAGACAACTGTATGAATCCCCCTCTAAGCACCTTCAAAAAGCACACAAATTGATTATTTTTCCAGATGAATCTTGCTCATGAGTTAATTTGACACAATGGGAGCGAGTGGTAGTGAACTGATGTGTCCCAAATGGCCCACCCTTACCA